TGTTTTCTTTTTAGGGGCATCAATGAAGAAGAAGTTGTTCTTAAAACAAACAAGCAAGTTTACTCCCTGCTGTTGCGTGCAACTGCTAACAAAAGTATGACTCTGCTAGAACGAATAGAGGTAATCTTAAATTTACTGGAACAGCTGACTCAAAATAACGAAGCTAGTAATGGAGGAGTTCCGTGACTGAAAAGCTGCAAAACAGCAGAAACAGTGCCTTGCTATGCATGGGAGCATGGTGTGTTTTCCCATGTGATATTTGTATTTATTGAAGGCGATAATATCGCCTGTGTTGTTACATTGTACGTCTGGGAAAGAACAGGAATTCCTTCTTATCCTGCGATAACTCTAATGGTTCGGTTACTAGCGTTTCTTTATTTGAAATGCCAGTTTGGGGTTCTGGATATAAACGTAACAATTTTTTTATGTTGGAGAAATTCACAATTTTTCTCTTACAGGTAATGGGCTTTGCAGTGATACAAATTTTTTGCATAAAAATGTAATCTCACAGTTGCTCTGGTTTGATATTTAATGAAATACACTTTGTAAGCAAGGCTTATTGGAACACTTTAACTGGTAACGTGAACTGAAGTTGTACAAGGAGATTTCTGTTGAATATGTGGACAGACGGACACACTACTTTAATGACAGTTTCTATCCTGCACAAACGTGTGTGCCTTCTAGCTTTGATGCAAGACTCTTGCAAACATTAGCTATCGCTGGGATTTCACTTACCCCAGAACGTGAATGGGTTTAGCTGTGCTTGGATTGATCAAGAATAGTATTACCTTTTTCAGACTTGAAACTGTGAATAAATGAGAGCATATTTTTAAATAAAAATTTATTTATTAACTATAAACTCATGAATCAGTCTGTCTTGTTTTTATTGGTTATGACTGTTACAACCCTCATCAGAGAAGCAAACTGCTCAATAGAATTAAAACTATTTGCAAGGCAGGGGGGGCTGGAAAAAATCTGTAAAATCAGGCCTAACAAGTAAGTTTAGTCTTAATCTCAGCATTTGAGGACTCCATTTTTTTGGAAATATGTCTTATTTAAAGATAAAGTTTTCAAAAATATAACATCTGATGTCTTAGTTTTTCTACAAATAAATGTGGTTCATTGTTGTATAACAACAGTATAAAACACACTGTTTATTTAAAGGTATTAACAGTTTTTACATGTGTGTATATATGCATGGGTTTTTTTTTAATCTCTCCATACTTAACACATAAGTAGTCAATTAACTATTTAAGCTGCTTGTTTTGAGGAGGTGATTCTTACTCTCATGGTGAGAGATACAGAACGATGCTTTTTTGTATGGGGCATGTTTTCACCCAGAAAACCCCAGGTTGTAGAAATTTCTATCCTGACAATTTAAACATGGTTTTACAAGTGCATCCTTAGATCTGTCTGATCTTAGATCAGAAACCCAATCTTTCTGATGCAACACAGAGCACAAATGCACCTGAAAAAAGCAAAACCACCTTGTGAAAGGATGAAAGATGACAGGTGTCGTCTGTGTCTGGTCTGTTGCTTCTGACTTGGAATGTCTGATTTGAAAAAGCAGGCAGACCTGGGGGCTTAAGCTTCTGTGTCTTTTCCTGCCTTCCACCGCGGGGCTGGCTGCACGCAACACCCCTTGCACCCTCCTCGCTTTTGGTGAGGTCAAAGCTGCACAAAATTGAACAACAGGTTTCTGAAGTAAGATGGCTGAAAGCACTATGCTTGAAATTGTTATCAGGAAGCCTGGCAATGGAGAGAGAAGAAACACATTCATGATAAAATCTCTTCTTCAGAGCAGAGGAGCTGAGGGGTGACTAAGCGAGACTGCTGAGATCAGTAACAGTGTCTTGGGTGCAGAGAATAGAGAGAGCGATTCCTGGTTAGAGAATAGTCGACTGACCTGACTGCAGCTGGCAGATTCCTGATGGCAAAGGGGAAATTCTAGCCAAAACCCTCTGATCAGATCCGATTTAGCAGGCTACCTTAATGCAAGAGGTCGGTGCATGCACTGCCACAGTTTTCACTTCATTCAAGAGGGACGGTCTGGAAGGTGTGTCCCAAAGAAAAGCGTCAAGACTAAAGCATAATCTCTGGTCCACCTGCGACTGAATGTGGCCTAAATGGGCTTTTTTAGAAGAGATTTTGCCTGTCTGAGTGCACTTTACTAGCATTGCACTGCACAGATCCATGCTGAAAGGCAGTGCTTTCTCCTGAAAAAATCTGAGGTAGCAGGTGCAGTTTAGGACAGAAGGGAAGAATGGAAAGGGGTGGAGGGGCATTGGGGGCAGGAGGCAGCAAGGGGGAAGTTTTTCTGCAATTTAAAAAAAAAACCAAACTAAAATACTAAAAAAGTAGCCGAAAGAAACCACCACCTGATTTTAGAAGCTGCTAGCATAGATACCGGTGTGTGCTTCTGCAGGCGCTCAGGATTTGACACAGGACTGTCAGCCAGCTGATGAGAAGAGCCTCAGCGTAAGCTCTGAGAAATCAGGAACGGTCTGTTACTGTCATTTTGGGGGAAGTTGTGTAACCTCTTCTTGCTTTCTTGTAACAAAATGCAAGTAATATTTTACAGTACTTCACTGAGTCACATAGAATAGATCAGGTCCGTAATCTGCGGTCTCTTCCTTAGAGCAGCATTTGTGTGCAGGGAACAGGCTCATGCTGTGCTCCGAAGGCAGGCTGGTAGTGTGGAAAATAACCGAGGGCCCATCATATAGAATATTGTATGGATCTTCTAAAAAGATGAATTCCACAGACCCAGCCTGGGGAAAACTCCAGTGGCAATGGCGATCTGGGAATGGTTGTTTCAGCTGTGAAGGGTTCCTTGGATAAAGCCAAGCCAGGCCTGTACAGCAGCTGATCTGGCTGGAAAGGGATAAAAAGCCATTCAGCTGCTGCAATTCTACTCCCTTTTCTCTCGTTACTGAAATGTCACTAAGTACTACCATGAACCAAGGTAGGGAGCTGGGATTTTTCAAACTGGTATTTTTCAAGCTGGTGTTTTTCATCGACAGTGTGTCTGAATTTTAGATTCAGACATAGTATCAGTTGGGTCACAGCAACTGTTTGCGTGGCCTCCACATCCCACAGCAAACGCCAGTTGTACCTCACTTAGATTTACCTCTTCTATCGCAGGTCAAGTCGCCTGAGTTATCTTCTGTTTGCCACGAGTCACGGAGGAGCACACTATCTGGTGCGGCAGATGTAGGGCAACCTGATTTCCTGCTAGAGCCCTTTGCAGTCTTGGTTTATATTGTTATATTAAATGCAGTAAGTATGTGTTGTCAGTGATGGCTGCTGATAGTTTCTGCTGGAAAGACATGTAGAAATAGGCCTGAGCTGATGAGTGAGACAAACAACTGATGGAACTTAGGCGAGCAAAAGAATTTGCCATATAGCGCAAGGGAGCACAAGCCCCCAGTTGGCTTGTTTCCAGTTCTTGCTCTCTCCTCTTGAGCCCGTCTCCTTCTTCCCCAAGGCACTAGCTCACACAAACCTTCTCCCGGCTCTCTTCTATGTCAGACACTAGAGATGTGAGTAGTACTGCAGGGGACTGGAACAGACTTCCAAATCCTCACTCTGCCGTGGACTTATTTTTGAATGAAGAGATGAACGGTACTGCACGCTCTATGTTATAATGATGCTACCCAGCTGAATCTGAATGTTCAACAGCTTAACTTCACTCGTCTTTGAAAAAAAAACAAGGGGCAAAGTCAACAATTGCTGCATAATCATTCTCTTCCTTCTTTCCCTGGGGCATGTCTGCACGGTCCTGCAACGACATCCAAGCGATTCTAGTATCCTACAGGATGTTCTTCTTCAGTGATGAAGTATTCTTCCCACTGTTCAACATTATCTTCCAGCAATTAGTATGCTTCTGACATTCTATTTCATCTCAAGAAATCGAACTGCTTTATAAAGCAAAATGGTTGTCATATTGTGCCCAGTCTGACTGAAGCATCCAAACACACAATTTGAAATTACTTCAGTTTATATTAACATAATTGGGTTCAGATTAACTCTTATTTTAGGTACGGAGCATCTTACCTAATTGAAAATTCAGGTCATATACTCAGAATTAAGCTAATAGAAACTTAGAGCAAATGAGAATTTCTCTGTTATTCTATGAACCTCAGCACTATACTAACAACATAAATGACTTTCATGAGGATTATAATTGTGTATATTATGATTTAAATCTTCTACGAATTTCTTAGCATTAGCGAAGGTACCATTAGTGCTATATGGGATTACTTTTTCTCCTTTCCCAGATAAATAAATTAAAGCATAAACCATATCCAAAACAGACAACTCTAACACCATTATTAACAACAATAAACCAGTTTATTTCTCTGTTAATAAATCCTCCTTCATTACAGGAATAGAAACCAAAAACTGATTTTTTAAGACCCTGTACTGTAAGGATACTTAGTGGGAATAGCTGACCTCCTATTAGCTCCACACAGTGCAACTTCACTGCAAGAATTGTCCTATTCCATTGAGAATCTACAATCATCATTTTAATATAAATATTTGAAAAGCAGAACAATGAACAAGTAAGCTTTACAAAGAAAATACTTCATGGTAAGTATCCTTTTCTTCTACAGAAGAAAAAGGAGGTGTGCATGTAAAACTGGTTGTACAGAGAAATGAAAACCTTACCTTGTATGCTAGGAGATACCTGAGGTGACACATTGAACTTATTTCAATACACAACTCTGATGCAAATGAGCCTCTCACAACTAGTTCTCAAGGAATTCCCACATAAAATATTTACACTGCACACATGAGAAAAGGGGAATAGCTAGATGCTTTGAGATGCTGGACAAATTTTAGATTTCTTAGATATTTAGATGCAAGCTTCTCACACCAGGCCCTCACAAGGACAGTGTTGCATATTCCTGAAAAATACTTTCTTGCAGGACAACAGGTCCGCAAAATGGAAGAACCTTCTACAGCACCATATTCACCTGCAAATGCATGCCGTGCTCCTATTTAGATAAACGGCAGTTCTGTACGTGAAGTGCTTTTTGGATCCCAGCAGCGAGGTCTTGGGGAGTCGGACTCTCTGCAGTACAGCTAACTGGGATTCCTGCGTCTTCCATGGCTTCAGCAGTTGTTGGACCGATAGCAGCAAACTGAAATGACATCATTTATAATAGCATAGTCAGGTACAGCATCGGCTCTTACCAGTTACTTAGGTACATATCATTCCTTCTTTGCTGACATTGTCAATGTATCAACTTGCATGGCCGAGCTTACTAAACTGTACTAACCATTTCAGGTTGAAGATTTCCAGTATGAAAAACCACCTATCAGTTAAGCTACTTAGAAATTACTTAGGAAAGATTATTATTTATCTTGCCATTACAAACATTTAAAGCTCTCAGTCCCACAAAACAGGAAGACTGAGAGGAATTTTAATATGCCTCAGCCTGTAATTGCTGATTCAAGCAAGAACTATTCACACCTTCACATCACTAAGAGAAAATAAAGCCTACACCCAGTGGAGACCGGGCAAGTTAGCTGGGGAAAAACATTCTAGGTGAAAACAATTCCTTTTTCTTTTTTTAAAAAAAGGCTCTCAGCTATATAATAACATTTGTATTTGCTACCTATGTATTTGCTATAACCTGTTTTTTCAGAGAAATAAACACAAACAAAAGAGAAAACGAGGTTTGTAATAGGTGTAACAGCTTTCCTATCTCTCATTTGCCCACCCCAAACTTACTCCCTATTGTATTTCACCACTTTTAAAGAGAAGATACCTTGACATGGTTAATAAAATCCCCCGAAAGCTTCTGAATGTGCTGGAGGCAAAATTTGATGCCAGATGGACTGAAGAACACGATGCTTGCTGGAATTCCCTGAGTAAAAGTAACCATAGGTTGGCATAGATTACTCACTATTCCAGCAGTATCTCAGTACACTTCCACATAAATCCCTTCAACTGCCTCTATATGGATGTGAAGTGTTTTTATTGATGAGGAACAGCAGTTAAGCCAACAGAAAGGGTTTCCTGTGGTGCAGACAGCCTGCCAAACCCCCATTCTACCACAGAATGCTGAATTTAGGTGTGACTTAACCAAATACTTTGTCAAACAAGCGCTTGCTGATAAATGTGCTGAAAGTGCTCTGGAGCCATACTCATTTTCTTGTTTAGCAAGAAAACTCAGCAAATTATTTCCCTAAATCCATTCCCATCTATCTCAGTTCTGCACATATTCTCTGTTTCCCGGCTCATGTGGTTTACCCTAAGTTCTGCCCGCCCTGAGATGCTCTGGCAAAGATGAAGTGTTGCCTTAAAACTGCAGACGCCTGGAAGGGCTTTCCTTCTCAGAATAAGCCTGCCTTAAGATAGCAGCAGCAATCTTCTGTACCCAAATAAAACCGCAAAATTCTGTCTGGAGTGAAGGTCCCAAGCTCTTGAGCTGCAGACCCAAAGCACATGCTTTCTTTATCATGATTTTCTGTCTGACAAGAAAGATACACTAGTTTCACTCAACTACATCTGTTACTATTTTATAGTGCATGACTTGGAAGCTAGCCTTAGCTCATGGAGGCCAGAATGACAGTTTAACAGAGTGCTGTTCATTGTCTCACAAAGTGCTAAACACTTGTCATTTTATGTCAGCTCTCCATGCACTGAATATATAACCGCAATATCATCAGTTAAGAACAACTAAAAAGTGCATGAAAAACACATTTTAACAGCTTTACACTGAAACTAACATCTAATTGCAGCAAGCAAGGAGTTCCATAAAAAGAGTTCAGAAAGTTACAAAATGCATGTGTATACTACTAACTCACTTTTGTAACTGCTATAAACTAAATACCATGGGGTTCAGAACTGCAATATCCACCTGGAAACACCAGGATATTACAACGTATCAGTTAGACTGCCCATGACCTTTTAGGACCTCTTGAAAATGAACTTTAAAATCAATTTGTAATTTAACAAGACATTAATGCACAGATTTTAAAAAGAGGTGTAAGTTTCTAAAAAGAGGCCAAGTTTCTGTAAGAAGGAAAGCCTGCATTTGGAATAAAATTAATCCTACATATGATGTAGGCTCCTACAAATGGAAAATTCAGAAAGCCAGTCTCGAAAAAATAAAAGCAATTATTAGTACCTTCAAATGTTTTACTATGCACTGATCCTTGATTAATGACATTTATTAGATGGTTTTAAAAAGAGAAAAACATTAACAACTTTAGCAAATATATCTCAATACACTTGTCAACAGCACGTCACTTGGAATTCTAACACTTAAAACAAGATCACTACATAAATTGGCTAATCAGAGAAGGAACACTGAAAACTATGTAGGGCAGGTTACTACTACTGGATTCTGATTTGTAATATATAGCAAAGATGTCCAGTGATATTTCAATTACACTAATAAAAATTAATTACAAAGCTGTTCAATAAATATCCTTGCTAAATGTAATTTCTGACATGGTATTACTTAAAAAGCAGTCTTGTCCAGCTCAAAAGAATAAATTGAATATGTAATTATTTATGCAGTTATTTCCCAGTAATTCTGCAACATACATATATTTTGAAAGTCAGACAAAATGTGAAAGGTTTTATTTTCTTCTTCAAACGGAGGCACTGTGTGTTTTAGGCTCATTTACAATTGCCGTAACAAGTAACTGAGGGACTCATGCTCTCTGTTTGAAACTTTTGCTAAAGGATTTTCTTGGTAGTCAATAGGGAAACAAAACAAGAAGTCTATGCAGGATATTCTTGTATCACCACAAGTATCATTTACAGACAGCTGAAAAAAAGGAGTATATTCATTAGGTATTATCATATACCTCAAAAATTCTCAAATTACATCAGCATCCAATACCTGTTGTGAGAAGTAACTGCTCAATGACTCTTGAAGGTCAGTGTGTTGGGCTGTTTGATAAACAGTAAGGCTTTCCACAGGTATACCTGGAATCAGAATGTACATTCATAATTAAACAGGGTTTCATTAATTTCTATTATTTCAATAGAACACTTTCAACATACTAACTGCACTTAAGTGTACTATTTTAGGCTAAAAAGATACAGAAAAACCTCTGGTAAGGATTTGTAGGTATTTCTGGAGTTGCAAGATATGCTAAAGCATCTGTAATCAGAGGACCTCGAAGCACACTGGAAAACTGGCAAGTCTTTCAACATTTCTGTGAATAAGGTACCTTCCATCTCACAGAAGAGAACGCAAGTGAAGAACAAGGCGAATAACCTTGCTCACGTCACGCTACAGCTCAGTCCCAGAGCTGTGGGCAGCAATCCAACCTCACATTTTCACTCCCATCCTCTAACTTCTAGCCAACAAATAGCAAATTCAATTTTTATTTATTCAAATTTGGTTCACAAGCTTTAGATACAACTTTTCTCATAACTGACTAATTAAAATGAGGCTCCAAGGGAAGTTCAACCTTTTTCTCTAAGTACTGTAGGAAGTACTTCTCTTTTCAGGGCTCCACAAGGAAAAAGAAGAGCTGAGGAATTAGGTTTCTCTCCTGTAAACACACAAACAAGAACTTTAATTAACTTACGTCTTTATTAAAGAGTAAGCATGACACATTTCATACATTTTAAAGGTATCAAACGTTGAACACTGCAGTAAATGCTGCATGCTTCATCACAGACATAGCCCTAAGATAACTGAAAACATTTGCAGTGCAACTGCATCCACAATTCAGAGGACAGAGGCTACTCAGCATGTAAATTAAAAAATATTCCATAACTATAATATGAATACATTGGCTAAAAAGATCTCACAAAAGATAAACTGCATTTCTATTCCCCTTGCCATTCTACAAAGCAAAACAAGTACTGTGCAAGTTATCTCCTCCTCCTCAGAAACACAATCTTCCTCAATTTTATATTTAAAATCTTAGTCCCACACAATAAATGACAGCTCTCTCTATATAGAAGAATATTCAGGCAGACAAAAAAGAGGACAGAAATACTTTGCCAAAAAGTTTCAGTCTATCTGAAAGTCTTATTTTCTTACTTCCCCAAGGAAAAATGATTCTACTTCCACTACTAGGGTGGAAGCGGATATCCTCACTTGCTCTCGTCCTTTAAAATGGAAGTGACCTCCAACTTAATTATTGTTACATTGCCAATATGTGAAAGCCCCTTGGAGATTTTGGAAGGACCTTTCTGACACATGGCTGTTTACAACTTAGGACATGATACACCTGGGATGCAGTTTGCATAGGTTTTATATGTTTCTAATACATTATCAAAGGAGTGAACAAATTCTGCTTAAGAAATACCACTAGGTAATAGTATTCATGTCGCCATCTCTTGGTTACACCTCCATTCACACAGCCACCCTGTCCCTGTGCACTCTGTGTACGCCCACGCGCAGGAGACAGGAAAGTGCAAACACTGACAATAATCATCACGTGAATGCAAACACCTGGCTCAGGAAGAACGAAATAGTACTGTCTATACGAGATTCCCAATAATTTGCTGAGTTTAGGGCTTAAACTAATTATGGGAAGTTTTTCACTACTAGATTTTATCAAATAAAAGTGAATATTGACACTTTGCAAAAGATAAAGAGCATTTTAATCGAGGAAGAATTCGATTTTTGGATAGGAATTTAACAGCAGATTTTTTTTGCACCGAGTTTGCCTTTTCTATAAAAAACAAATACAGAGAAAATTCTTCACAGCTGCACACAACTTTGCATTCATCTTTCAAAATACATGAGAGTTCCTCAGCACATTATTTTATATACACATTATATAACTAATTCAGATATGTTAATACACGTTTAAGAGACGACTACTAGAAAAATAAATGTGTTTTTTTTTTTTTAAGTGCTGGAAGTAGATTCTTGGTTTATACCAGTAAGCATCAGAGATGCCTCAGGGAAAAAAAATAAAGGACAGCATAGTAAAAATCAAATGGGAAGACCCTAGTAGGAGTCAACACAGATATATTTGACTGTCGTAAATGCACACTGAAATTTTATTAGAAGCCATAGATATGCTTGTAATAAATTACAGGAAGGAAGAATGAACTTGGGAGAGAATGTAAAAGAGATTTTAAAATAATAAGATAAAACCTAAGTATTTCAGCATTAATCCTCCTACAACGCATGTCAGTTAATTGAAATGTCAATTAATTGAAATGTCAATGTGATATCTGTAAAGAAACACTAATCCTTTTTGACTCGTGTTTACAAAGCACAGAAAAATTCCTTAGTAGGCCTGAACAATACAATAAGCATTGGCCCTAATGGTATCCCCTACTCCTGTAACCAACACAAATGCTACACTGTAATAAAACTAAAAAAGTATTTGCCTTGAAAAGAGAGTAAAGCTAGCTAGCTAGTTAAGGAGTAAATGCCTTTATTTTCCCAATCACTTAAGTTGAAGTGGGTACCAAAGCACAAAAGGTGAATAACAAAAGAAATATCATTGCTTCAGATTTTATTTTTATTCTGACAATAAATTCTAATGATATAAAACATTTAAAGCTATTGTTTTCATTTACTTATCATTTTATGCATAAGCAAAAATAAATATATACATAATAGGGAACATGATGCAATTTAATCTATACTTCAGAGGTTGTTATAAACCACTTGATAAATTGAGAGCGCATAAATACGCACAATCCAATAAATCACTGAGTATGATTATATGTATCAACAACAAGCAGTCTCCAATGATTGAACTTCACTGGTCGGTTATCAAAACTGAAGGGTATTCAAAGGCAGTCATTTTTGCAAGGATAATGGAAGTGTTGCAGCGTTGTGTTAATTTAAATAGCCTGCTGGTGTTCAGGTATGAAACCGCCCTCAGGATACTCTATGTATAAGGCTGTAAAACACAGAGTTCTCTCCTTCCCAGGGGTGGCTATCAGAACCTGCTGCTCCGCTCTCACCAGAAAGTGCTATTCCCTGCCCCGCTCCCTCTGTGACTGCCAGCTCCTAACTGCAGGAGTGTGCAGGCAAAGCGGGGAAACAGCCCCGGCACCAAACACGGTCAGAAGTGACAAGGTCTGTGAACCAAGCAGCTCCCAAGGGAGGAGGAAGAGCCAGGATGATCCTCAACTGGACTGAGAAAATAACCAAGAAGAGGTTACGATGCAGTAACTGTGCCAGTCACAGGCTCACCATCGAGGAATTTTTCCACCCCTGGTATTACATGCACTATGTTCCTTAGACCTGATCCTAGGTTTTTTCACATTCATACCACAGAAGACATGGGTATTTTTCTTATCTTCCTTCTCAAAAAAACCTCCTTCTGCAAACTGGCAAACATTAATTCATTACCGAAACTAGATTTCCTAGCACTAAAAAATCAGCTAAAAGCTGTCTTTGTTTTAAAATATCTCTTGAAGAGTAGATATGGGTTATTCTTACGGCATTTTTGTGTTGAAAATTTCATTTTTAATTTTCAGAATTTATTATTTAATCTTGTGTTGACAACTATCATTTTTATCATTAAATATTCCAGATAGTTAAAATATTTTATTTGCCAATGAATTACAGAGCCCATACTCTGCCCATAAAAACCAATACTTGCCAGCTTCAATCAATTTTTCTTTTACCTATAAATCTCTGCTACTACGCAGACTTTGCTAATCAACACTCTCTTTCGTATCTAGTGTTATGCCTAACAGCCAGAAAAACCATGTCAGGGTTCTTGACATCATTTCCACTACTGAAGCACCTAGCACCTTATTCAGCAAGTTCATAAAGTGTGGTCAGCAGTAGGGCTTTTAAACCAGCAGATACAGTAATTCATCCAACATCTAGAATAATTGCACTGATTGTCATTTGTTTCTCTGACTAGGGTTAGCCAACAGCAGACTATTTACCTTGGCTGGCTGAATAACGTGGCTTTTCAAAGCGTTGGTCATTCTCTGTTCGATTAGCAGACACTGCATGAGCCTCTAGATGAAGCTTTCTGTTTCCCTTTTTAAATTTGGGGCAGAAAGTCCTTCAGCGAAGGACATACCTTTGTATCAGACTGAAAGCTACCCTCTAATTTCACTATGAGACTCCACTATACAGCTCCCTGCTTTCTCACATGAGCGGGGATGTACCCCAGGTCACACAAAAGTACAGAGAAGGATCTGCCAGCTAACAGGTTGCTGCTGAGACACTGACCCTTAGGTGTGATTTTCACCTGGTGCAGTGATTATTTTAGCAGTGAGTTTCAGAGAGCATGGGGACTAACTCCGCTGACTTATTTTGATAACTCTTCCTCCCAGCCGATACTCAGATGGACACTTTGAAGGCAGCACGCACCTCAGCCGTGGATCCCCTGGACCACCACCGCGTGTGTCAGGAGCTCTGAGGTCAAACTCATTGCACTGGCAGCTCCTGCTTATGACATTCTTCACCCAAGTTTTATTAACCCAGGCTGTACAAAAACACAGCCTCTTTTTTCACAGCTTGTACTGACCCATCCACTCAAAAAATGATCAGCCCCTGAGCACAAAAATGTTTCTTATTACTATCGGAAATTTTAACAAATTACGGGGAAAAAAAAAATGAGGAAGTAAATTAACTAGACTTTTAAAATTAACCAATAATCTGATAATACATTTAGAAGCAGCAAACAGATTAGCATTACAGCTTTAACCATAACAAAATGGTTAAACCAAACATAAACCATCATTTTAACTAACCCTTTCTGCAACTTCGTCAAAACCACTCTCCTTTGGTGCTGAAAAAGAGATTCCTCTGAAACCACATGTTCATTCTGAGGAAAGGAGTTCCCCTTATCTACTTTGAACAATGGCATGGTGAAAAATCCCCAGCACCAACTGGTTTGAAGCAAGGGAAGTCAGGTCACCCAAAGTTCAGAGAACCAGCACACCTATAGTCACAATCATTTAAATCTTATGATGAAGCAGCAATTTCGAACATTACAGCTCTGATCTTTTAGTAAAAAAATATTTTGTCTACTGGTCACATAGTATTATTAATCAATTACAGAGTCTAAGATTTCATGAAAATTAATATTTTGTGTAGGTATTTCAGAGTATTTTTTATCGTCTTTTAGAGATAAAAAGTTGAATTAACGGGTTCTACATATAAGATGTCTATGCAGTATGTACTTCTCTGCTTCAGTGTACACTTGATTTTACTTATAGGAAATTCTGAAACAATGGAAGGTACATTAGCTTAAGCATAAGATTTTAGATACTTACTTGAGCAAATATATTCAGCTAATTTTTCAGCATTTCCAGACTTTTCTCCTTGTGGACTAAGGCCAATTTCTTCCACTATAACCAAAAGTAGCAAAGAAAAACATTTAAATCAATGAGAACAATTCAGATTTACTGTCACAGAAACATGGGTTGAAAAGGGACGCAACTTGATCCACACACACAAATACTTCTTTGAATAGCAAAAAAATTGGAGCACTTGAAGTAGTAACATGCGATGAAAAATTTGATTTTGGCTCTAGAAAGACATACATGAAAAAAGTACAAATGAAAAATTCTGGGGACAGCTAAGCTGTTTTGGAGATTTTTTTAAACTCTTGTACCTGAAGCGGTGAAACAGAAAGCACTGTCTGACTATGCTGAATGGGCTACAGTTCCTGGCATGGTTTGGTTGCAGCCAGCTTCCCAATGAGCATATCGCTGTTCTTTCTAGTGAAGGCTGAAATCCTATCAAAAAATCTGAGAGTAACACCGTTTTTATCTAAGCAAGTAAGCAGGGATAAGATGAATCCCTGAGAAGTTAAATAATTTGGGACCTGATTGATTCGAGACGCTTCTTAGGTGTCACCGGTTGGTGATCCAGTGTTGTTACCAGCCTGCCTGAAAAAATACGCTTTTTATAGAGGTAGACAGTACCTACCCAAATTATTTTTGGACTAGAAGCAGAAAAACATCAAGACTTTTAAACAATGTTAGTCTTTTCATAATATTTCCTATGTGGTTCAGTAGCAGCTAAAGCTACAATGCAATTTTACAATAAGAAAGGCTTTCATAAACTAAAATCTACATTGCATTTTTGTTACGCGCACAAAATATGTATTGCATCAGATTAAAACTAGCATCAAGACAAATAAAGCAGCTGACCCACTGAAGACAACGGGATGTATACTGCTGACTTCTGTTTGGCAAATGCCCTCACAGGACCACTGAGGGAAGGAAGCGCCAGTGCATCACACTTCGTACAATCTCAGACAATCATGTTATAATCCCATTCATCCAATTTAATTTCCAAAGTGAATGAAAACAAACACATGCAAATTAAGAACAAAGGGGTTCTTTTCTTTTTTGACCAAATTTTTAAAGTAGTTACCATCACATTTCAATACAAGTAATGAAAAACCAGAAGCTATATCCTTAGATGAAGTAAGCACGTATAGTTCTAATGTGTATACCATTACCTGTTTTTAAAATTATCCATTTATAAAACTTAACTACATTTTTTTTCTAAGCAGCCTTGAGTAGCAGCTAATACTCCAAAAATTGTACTTACAAGACATATTTATCTAAGATTTCTTTTTTTGAACCCCAGCTTACCTAGAGAAGCTGTAGCTTTTCCTACCACGTATGCTGGTTTGGTATTCCATCTTTGTTTAAGAGATTTTGACCAGGCTGAAAAACATTAAATTAAATTTAAGCATGTGGCAACAAAATATGAATGCTAAATGAGTATTTGGACTTCTGTTTATTCTACAAATACAGCAAAACAGTAATAACTAATACGCCACTACATATTTCAGCAAATCTGTATGTACAAAATGAATTTTTAATTTATTTTTTTCATTGTGTAAATAGCAGTCTACAACATGTTTTTAAAAGCCTAATTTGAGTAAACAGTTCTTAGCTGCTTTTGTTAAGTAGCATTTTTAATGCACACTTGCCCTATGCCAGATCCCATACAACTTGCAATGTTCATTTATGTTTTGGCATTAAGAATTTTAAAAAAGCATCAAAACTCATAGGAAAAACCAGCACATAGTACAAAGGGAGATTTAGACTGGTGGTTTAAAACTGAAGGCTTAGGCAAAAACCAAATATAATCTTCTATGACAACAAATAAAAGGGTAAAACTCTACATCCATGCACTACAGTACTCTATAATGCAACTCTTTCTTATACAGGAAAAGTATAGAAACTTACTATATTTTAAACATACACCAAAAATAAGTTATCAGCTCAGAAATAAAACGTACCAGAGACCAAAATAAAATTACTAGGAAATGGCTTTCCTCCTTCGGCATTAGGTAGGTTATAGATTACATCGCTTGGTTCCAGCTACCTGATCCCTATGCCTGAAATCCTAATGGGTCAAAAATAGCTACACTAAGTCTTTTACTATCTTGTCTTAAAACAGTATAGCATAGGACATTGAGCTCCTTTCTAGTATTCTTGGGGGGAAAAAAATTAGAAATAGAAACTACAACAGTAAAAAAAGAGGAAACTATTCTAAAGAAGGAAAAAGATAAGGATTTATTACCTTTGAAAGGAACCCAAATAGGAACTAAAGATTCATTTTATTGATTAAAATATGTATTTCAGCAGCTCCCAAAATTCCTAATTAAGATTAGGGATGAACTCTAGATAAGAGATTACATTTAACCAAAAATCCTAAAATATAGTCCTCTGCTGTTGAAAACGCTAAAATAAGCTAACAATCTCAGTGTATTTACTGCTTCCTCAAGAGTGTAACCTTACTCACTGCACATTGATTAGTAAGACTACGGCCCAAATATGGAGCAGATAAAGTAATAAAAGAATTTAAGTGTACATAGAAACTCGAAGCCAGAAATTATGACTTAGCGTAAGAATTTAGAAGAGAGTACAAGGATTTGATAGATCATTGGTATGGTAATTTCTATTTAGCACTCTGCAGGATTCTTACTCACAACTGATCTGTTGGCTTTCACATATCACCATTTCTTCACTGCTTTTTAGCTAATACTTAATTCCCGTGAGAAATTTATATTGAAGACAGAGAAATCTTTTTTTGTAAGACTTCATATGAATTATATAGGCACAGAAGTAGCAGTGGCCAGTTTCTATTAACATGCTCCGCTCTTTATGGGAAGGAAGTAGGTAGTAAGCAAAACTAGGCACTGCAGCAAAATATTCCTTATGCATGAGATAACCACAACTGAAAAAGCTCATGCTAATTAGTAATTTGCACCAAAAGCTCTT